TTGGGATATGTAGATATATGTAGGAAAAATTTCAAAATCGAAATTCGAACTTGGGGGTACTTATGGGGGGGCAAAAATTTTTGTAAGAGAACTGTCTTACCGATAATTGTCGGATTTCTCTAAATTGAGGAAATCCTAAGGGCAAATCTCATAGGTGAGAGAGAAATTGTGATTGATAGGAGAAATTTCGAGTTAAAATTTGTGGGATCTCGAAACTAAAGCAAGTTTCGAGTTGAGTGAAGGTTAGTTGGGGGGAATTATATGGGGATTTCGAAATTAGGGATCCGGGATTTCGGGATTTTTAGGGATTTTTGAATATGGTCGAATGAGTAGTCATTCGAAAGCGGAGAATGAGGGGAGTTGAATGGGATATATGGTAAAGCCGAAAGTCGAAGTTCGGAGTTCGAACTTCGAAATCCGGGTTTTTCGGAGTTGAGGGATATGGGTAAGTGGGTAGTCATTCAAGAGCAGGGAGTGAGGGGAGTCTAAAGGGATACTGGATGAGCATAAAAGTCGAAGTTCGAAGTTCGAACCTCGAAATCCGGTATTTTCGGGTGTTGCGGATATGGGCAAGAGGGTAGTCATTCAAGAGGGGATGTTCAGGGGAGTCTAATGGGATACGGGATAAGTATGAAAGTCGAAGTTCGGAGTTCGAACTTCGAAATCCGGGTTTTACGGGATTGGGAAGTGGGGTCGAATGAGTACTCATTCAAGAGGGCATAATAAGGGGAGTCGAATGGGATAAAGGATTAAGCCTAAAGTCGAAGTTCGGAGTTCGAACTTCGAAATCCGGTATTTTCGGGATTGGGAAGTGGGGTCGAATGAGTACTCATTCAAGAGGGGATAATAAGAGGAGTCAAATGGGATAAGGGATAATGTCGAAATTCGAAATTCGATGTCGAACTTCGAAAGCCGGGATTTAGAGTTGGTAGAAATATGGTCGAATGAGTAGTCTTTCAAGAGGGGATAATGAGCGGAGATCAATGGGATATAGGATAATATCGAAAGTCGAAGTACGAAAGTCGAACTTCGAAATCCGGGGTTTTCGGTATTCCGAATATTGTCGAATGAGTAGTCATTCGAGAGCGGGCAGTGAGGGGAGTTCACTGGGATTAATAAAAATGTCAAAATTTGAACTTTTAGAAGTTCAAAGGATATAGTCGAATGAGTAGTCATTCGAAAGCTTATTAGAAGGGTATTCTAATGGGATTAGCCAAAATATCTAATTTCGAAGTTTGTGGGTTGGGATTTGAGTCTGGGACTGAAATGGTTTTCAGACTCTAACTTTGTTAAAAAAATTTTTAGAATTTTTCCAACAACGGATTCGTACTCAGCGTGTACGAAAACACTATAAAACACGTTTTTTTGTCAAAATTAAAAATTTTTGACCTCTCGAATTTTTCAAAAGGGGTACCCCTTTTGGGGGATTTTTAAATTTGGTATAAATTTTTGTGGGATTATCGAAATGGGATGGGGTTTGCTTTATAAAATACAGTAAAAAATTAGGTATTTTTTGAGCCCAAAAAATTTCGAAAAAAGTCAAAATTTGAGGTGTAGGGGTCTAATTTCGAAAAACCCAAAATTTTTCGGTTTTTCGAAATTTTTTCGGGATTTTTGGCGGCGGTTCGGGCCGAAGGTATTTTTCCTGGATAAAAGAGATTTTTCTGCATCTGCTAAGGTTTTAAAATCTTTAAAAAAGTTATACTTAGGTGAGATATGATTTTTTGAAAATTTTAGTGAATTTTTCAGGCAGAAATTTCCGGCCAAAAAATTTTAATTTTAAAAATCAAAATATATGTGGCAAATGAGATATCATTCGAAAGCTCTTATTGAGCTGGGTATAAAAATATTTTTTTCAAAATTTTTCGGTACATTTTGACGAAGTTACAAATGTTCGAAAACCCATCGCGGGCCGGAGGCCCGCCGTAGCGAGGGCCGAAGGCCCGAGCATTCATTACATCTAAAAGGCAAAACAATAGTCGAAGGCAGGGCACGGCGGGCCGGAGGCCCGCCGTAAGCGAGGGCCGAAGGCCCGAGCATTCATTACATCTAAAACGCTGAGCAATAGTTAAAGGCAGGGCACGGCGGGCCGGATGCACGCCGTAAGCGAGGGCCGAAGGCCCGAGCTTTCATTACATCTAAAACGCAGAGCAATAGTCAAAGGCAGAGCAAACTTTACCGGCGAGGGCCGAAGGCCCGAAGCAATGAAAAGGCAGGGCTAAACTTACCGGCGAGGGCCGAAGGCCCGAAGCAATGAAAAGGCATGGCTAAACCCTTCTTTTAGCCATCCACACATTCTAGCAGCGCGCGAAGCGCGCCCCAAAGCCGATAGGCTTTCCAACGGGCAGAGCCCAATTTAAACCCAAAGCAAAATTAAACCGCCAGAGTTTCCTAATGGGAATTGCATACGCACTACGCCGCCATCGCATACGTAACCTACAGCTAGTTACTATATACCTATAATTCAGGGAGTGTTTTTTCTAAGAAAAAAAATAACGGCCGGCCGAAGGCCGGCACGGTTTTGGGAGTTTGACATTCGGGGGGTAGTTTGGGACGGGGCATCCAGGAAAATTATCGAGAAGTCAAAATAATTACCCCCTGGTACCTAAATCGCTTAAGCGCCGGGGCTATCTTTTCAATGGGGGGTTATAGCGAAAAATGTCTGCTGGGAGGCACGTGCCCTGATATTAGGGGATGTTAATGGAAAAAAACTCGAAGTCGAAATTCGGACCTGAAGGGTACTTATGCCTTCCCAAATGGTTATGCCCCCGGGGCTTCGAAGTCTAACTCATTTTAGGGATGAGTTAGAAGTCTGAAACTTTTTGCATCCGGGGTTGGATACGATGGGGCATTTGGGAAAAATAGGGAAGGGTTGAAATAATTGCCCCATGGTACCTATATTGAATAGGTACCGGGGGTATCTCGGGAGTGGGACCAGATAGAGGAAAACTTCCAACGGGAGGCACGCACGTTGGGATTAGAGGATATTAATGGGAAAAAACCCGAACCCGAAATCCCAACTTGGAGGGTAGATATGCCTTCCCAAAAATCCCAAAATCCCCGTTTCGCAAATTTCGAGATTTACGAAACTGGTCGACAAATCACGTATGATATGTCAAATGAAAGCTCTCGAAGAGCTGAGTCTGGATAAATTTAGTTTAAATTTTTCGGATCACCTTGGACCAAGTTACAGTAGCCCAAAGTTTCAAAATATTTTTATGTAAAATTGGGAAGGGTGGCTCCAATTCTCAAAAGTGAATTAAAACGCGTTTTTGATATCCTATCATAAAGAGCGTCCCCTGGCGGTCCGAAAAAGGTATAATATGTCGGGGGTATGTTTGAGTCTGAAAAAGTTATGGGCAATGTTCGCAAATGTCGCAAAACTTTTTTGGACTCTAACTACCCGGTGAAAATTTTTAAAATTTTTCTGACGCCGGATTCGTACTCAGCGGGTGTCAGAGTACCATATAGGCCGTTTTATAAGTCAAAATTCCAAAATTTTGTCCCACCCCCTATTTCCAAAGGGGTACCCCTTTTGGGGGATTTTTGGGATTTTTTAAATCGCCTTAACTTTTTATGGGATTATTGGATTGGGTTGTGGTTTGCTTTATAAAATAGAGTCAAAAATTAGAAATTTTTTGAGCCCAAAAAATTTCGAAAAAATCCAAACATGGGGGTGTAGGGGTAGATCATCCCAAAATGGATCGCGAGGGCCGAAGGCCCGAGCTTAAGATCCATCCCAAAATGGGTCGCGAGGGCCGAAGGCCCGAGCTTAAGATCCATTCCAAAACGAATCGCGAGGGCCGAAGGCCCGAGCTTAAGATCCATTCCAAAACGACTCGCGAGGGCCGAAGGCCCGAAGCGATGAAAAGGCAGGGCTAAACTTTACCGGCGAGGGCCGAAGGCCCGGAGCAATGAAAAGGCAGAGCAAATGTTACCGTTTCTAGCAGCGCGCGAAGCGCGCCCCAAAGCCGTTAGGCTTTCCAACGGGCAGAGCCAAATTTAAACCCAGAGCAAAATTAAACTGCCAGAGTATGCTATTCGCCGCCATACCCCAATGGGCACAACTAGTTATATTATACTAAAAAAAACCACCAAGTGCCCCTTCTTTTGTGGGTAAAATCGGGCTTTTTTCGTTTAAAAACTAATTTGAGTCGAACGAGTTCTCGGGGATTTTTTTGAGTTGTACATTAGTCCTACAACTTTTTGACGCGCATTCAGGAAAATTATAGCCGTGGCGCCAAAACGTACCTCTGCGCCGAAACGGCCGTCGGTAAAATTCAAACGGCTGTAACTCGGAGAGGTGAAGTCGGATCAAAAAGTGATTGGGGTGAGGGCCCTAAGTTGGGATAGGGTCTATAACGCTGAAAAAAAATTGGAGGCCTGGGAACAACTGTCCGACCTGTGGAGGTTGGCAAAAATTCACCGATTGTCGGTGAATTGTCCTACCTCGTCCGACGAAATTGATCGACAATTTACAAATTATATACCAATCGAAAGCTCTCATCGAGCTGAGTCCGAAAAAATTTATTTTAATTTTTTCTGACCATTTTGAAAAAAGTTACACTTCGCCAAAGGTTCAAAATGTCTTGGACCCCTATCGGGAAGGGTGGCTCCCATTGGATGTAATTATAAAAATGCTTATGAGAGGCCGAATCGCTCCAACTCTTTTTTAGTATGTTAGGGCACTTAGTTGGCTAAAATTTTGTTGGGGGCCACTTGAGTCTCGGATTTGGTTCTGGGGGTCATGAGGTTCAAAAGGTCCGGGTCGAAAAGTCGACTTTTTAATGCGTGAATTGAAAGTCGATTTGAGTTTCCTATGTTGTAGAGCGTCCTTTGAAACCTCTAAAAATATATACTTTGTTGGGGGTACACTTGAGTCTGGAAAAGTTATAGGGCAAAAAGTGACATTTTGGGGGTCAAAAATTGACCTTTATTGGGCTATAACTTTTTTTAAAATTTTTTTAAAAATAAAAGGGCTTCGGGAATGGATTCAGCACCTATCAGAGCACAATATAGCATATTTATCTCGAAGTCGAATTTTTCGACTCAGGTTCGACTTTTTGGGGGTCACACCCGGTGGGGTACCTGATTGAAAGTCTGAATGAAAACTTAATCCGGTGATGTTGTAGAGCATCTAAAACTACACTGAAATGTAAAATTTGGGCATGGTCCACTTGAGTCTCAAAAAGTTATGGCCAATGTACGCAAATGTCGTAAAACTTTTTGAGACTCTAACGTCCCTGCGAATTTTTTAAATTATTTTCGGAGGACGGTTATAGGCTCAGCGGGTCTTAATGTACTATATAAGCTTTATTTTATGTCGAAATTGAACTTTTATGTTTTCTGACACTATTTCCTTCAGGTTTTGACCTAAGACACGTTTTTTCGAAAATTTTTGCTGATTTTCAAATTTTTTATTGCAAGTGTTATATTTTTTTTAAAGCGCTCGGCCAGCCGCATCGAATAGGCTGTATTTTAATAGTTAGCATCATAATTTTAAAAATTACATTTTTTGGCGTTTTGTTATTTTTCCAAATTTTTTCTTTTTTTTTACGGTTTTATTTTTCCTCTATTCCGTTAGAAAGTTATTTTGGCCGTAGAAGTTATTTTGGCCGTAGATTCGGCGGGCCTTCGGCGGGCCGAAGGCCCGCCGAGATTTCCAAAGCTTTTAATTTAATATAGCAGAAAAAACCTTCTAGCAGCGCGCGAAGCGCGCCCCAAAGCCGTTAGGCTTTCCAACGGGCAGAGCATAAAAATCAAAAAGTATCGTAACTAAACCTATTGCATACGTAACTTACCGCCATACCCCAATGGGCACAACTAGAAAGTGAACCAAAAAGTGAACCAAAAAGTGACCAAAAAGTGATTGGGGTGAGGGCCCTAAGTTGGGATAGGGTCTATAACGCTGAAAAAAAATTGGAGGCCTGGGAACAACTGTCCGACCTGTGGAGGTTGGCAAAAATTCACCGATTGTCGGTGAATTGTCCTACCTCGTCCGACGAAATTGATCGACAATTTACAAATTATATACCAATCGAAAGCTCTCATCGAGCTGAGTCCGAAAAAATTTATTTTAATTTTTTCTGACCATTTTGAAAAAAGTTACACTTCGCCAAAAGTTCAAAATGTCCAGGACCCCTATCGGGAAGGGTGGCTCCCATTGGATGTAATTATAAAATTGCTTAAGAGAGGCCGAATCGCTCCAACTCTTTTTTATTATGTTAGGGCACGTAGTTGGCTAAAATTTTGTTGGGGGCCACTTGAGTCTCGGATTTGGTTTTGGGGGTGATAAGGTTCAAAAGATCGGGGTCGAAAAGTCGACTTTTTAACGCGTGAATTGAAACTCGATTTGAGTTTCCTATGTTGTAGAGCGTCCTTTGAAACCTCTAAAAATATATAGTTTGTTGGGGGTACACTTGAGTCTGGGAAAGTTATAGGCCAAAAATTGAGTTTTTGGGGGTCAAAAATTGACCTTTTTTGGGCTATAACTTTTTTTAAAAATTTTTTAAAAATAAACGGATTTCGGATTCGGATTCAGCACCTATTAGAGTACCATAAAACATATTAATCTCGAAGTCGAATTTTTCGTCTCAGGTTCGACTTTTTGGGGGTCATACCCGGTGGGGTACCTGATTGAAAGTCTGAATGAAAATATTGTCCGGTTAAGTTGTAGAGGGCCCTAAACTATGTCGAAAATGTATACATTGTAGAAGGTCCACTTGAGTCTCAAAAAGTTATGCCCAATGTTCGCAAATGTCGCGAAACTTTTTGAGACTCTAACTTCATAGGAAAATTTTTAAAAATTTTTCTGAGACCGGATTCGGACTCAGCACACCTAAATGCACCATATAGGTCGTTTTTTGACCTAAAATAAAAAAATTTTTTCCCCGACCCCATCCCAAAAGGGGTACGTACCCCTTTTCGCCGAATTTTGGGATTTTTTAAAACGGCATAACTTTTTTTGGGATTTTCGGATTTGGATGTGGTTTCTTTATAAAAATAGACCAAAAAATTAGGACCAAAAAAACTTTACCGACCAAAAAAACTTTACCGGCGCGGGCCGAAGGCCCGAGCTTTCAACTCATCCCGGAAGGCAGGGCTAAACTTTACCAGCGAGGGCCGAAGGCCCGAGCTTTCAACCCATCCCGGAAGGCAGGGCTAAACTTTACCGGCGAGGGCCGAAGGCCCGAGCTTTCAACCCATCCCGGAAGGCAGGGCTAAACTTTACCGGCGAGGGCCGAAGGCCCGAGCTTTCAACCCATACCGGAAGGCAGGGCTAAACCTTACCAGCGAGGGCCGAAGGCCCGAGCTTTCAACCCATACCGGAAGGCAGAGCAATGAAATTAGAAGGCAAGGCTAAACTGTACCTGCGAGGGCCGAAGGCCCGAGCTTTCAACCCATCTAAAAGGCTGAGCAATGATCGAAAGGCAGGGCTAAATTTACCTGCGGAGGCCGAAGGCCCGAGCTTTCAACCCATCCCGGAAGGCAGGGCTAAACTTTACCAGCGAGTGCCGAAGGCCCTTTCTTTCAACCCATTTCTGAAGGCAGGGCTAAACTTTACCAGCGAGGGCCGAAGGCCCGAGTTTTCAACCCTTCCCGGAAGGCAGGGCTAAACCTTACCAGCGAGGGCCGAAGCCCGAGCTTTCAACCCATCTTAGAGGCAGAGCAATGAAAGAAAAGGCAGGGCTAAACTTTACCTGCGAGGGCCGAAGGCCCGAGCATTCAACCCATTTAAAAGGCAGAGCAACGCATTAAAATGCAGGGCTAAACTTTGCCGGCGAGGGCCGAAGGCCCGAGCTTTCAACCCATCCCGGAAAAATTGGCCGATATTTTAAACTTTGCAAAAAAATTTTAAAGGTGGGCAAATGATATATCAAATGAAAGCCCTCAGTGAGCTGAGTCTAAAAATAATATCAGAAAAAATTTCTGACCATTTTGTACAAAGTTATGCTTGACCAAAACTCCGACCACAGCCGATTAAACATTCTAGCGGCGCGCGAAGCGCGCCCCAAAGCCGTTAGGCTTTCCAACGGGCACCCCAAAATTTTACCGCCAGAGTGCTGTAACTAACCGCCATCGCATACGTAACCCATAGCTAGTTATATTATACTAAAAAAAACCACCAAGTGCCCCTTCTTTTGTGGGTAAAATCGGGCTTTTTTCGTTTAAAAACTAATTTGAGTCGAACGAGTTCTCGGGGATTTTTTTGAGTTGTACATTAGTCCTACAACTTTTTGACGCGCATTCAGGAAAATTATAGCCGTGGCGCCAAAACGTACCTCTGCGCCGAAACGGCCGTCGGTAAAATTCAAACGGCTGTAACTCGGAGAGGTGAAGTCGGATCAAAAAGTGATTGGGGTGAGGGCCCTAAGTTGGGATAGGGTCTATAACGCTGAAAAAAAATTGGAGGCCTGGGAACAACTGTCCGACCTGTGGAGGTTGGCAAAAATTCACCGATTGTCGGTGAATTGTCCTACCTCGTCCGACGAAATTGATCGACAATTTACAAATTATATACCAATCGAAAGCTCTCATCGAGCTGAGTCCGAAAAAATTTATTTTAATTTTTTCTGACCATTTTGAAAAAAGTTACACTTCGCCAAAGGTTCAAAATGTCTTGGACCCCTATCGGGAAGGGTGGCTCCCATTGGATGTAATTATAAAAATGCTTATGAGAGGCCGAATCGCTCCAACTCTTTTTTAGTATGTTAGGGCACTTAGTTGGCTAAAATTTTGTTGGGGGCCACTTGAGTCTCGGATTTGGTTCTGGGGGTCATGAGGTTCAAAAGGTCCGGGTCGAAAAGTCGACTTTTTAATGCGTGAATTGAAAGTCGATTTGAGTTTCCTATGTTGTAGAGCGTCCTTTGAAACCTCTAAAAATATATACTTTGTTGGGGGTACACTTGAGTCTGGAAAAGTTATAGGGCAAAAAGTGACATTTTGGGGGTCAAAAATTGACCTTTATTGGGCTATAACTTTTTTTAAAATTTTTTTAAAAATAAAAGGGCTTCGGGAATGGATTCAGCACCTATCAGAGCACAATATAGCATATTTATCTCGAAGTCGAATTTTTCGACTCAGGTTCGACTTTTTGGGGGTCACACCCGGTGGGGTACCTGATTGAAAGTCTGAATGAAAACTTAATCCGGTGATGTTGTAGAGCATCTAAAACTACACTGAAATGTAAAATTTGGGCATGGTCCACTTGAGTCTCAAAAAGTTATGGCCAATGTACGCAAATGTCGTAAAACTTTTTGAGACTCTAACGTCCCTGCGAATTTTTTAAATTATTTTCGGAGGACGGTTATAGGCTCAGCGGGTCTTAATGTACTATATAAGCTTTATTTTATGTCGAAATTGAACTTTTATGTTTTCTGACACTATTTCCTTCAGGTTTTGACCTAAGACACGTTTTTTCGAAAATTTTTGCTGATTTTCAAATTTTTTATTGCAAGTGTTATATTTTTTTTAAAGCGCTCGGCCAGCCGCATCGAATAGGCTGTATTTTAATAGTTAGCATCATAATTTTAAAAATTACATTTTTTGGCGTTTTGTTATTTTTCCAAATTTTTTCTTTTTTTTTACGGTTTTATTTTTCCTCTATTCCGTTAGAAAGTTATTTTGGCCGTAGAAGTTATTTTGGCCGTAGATTCGGCGGGCCTTCGGCGGGCCGAAGGCCCGCCGAGATTTCCAAAGCTTTTAATTTAATATAGCAGAAAAAACCTTCTAGCAGCGCGCGAAGCGCGCCCCAAAGCCGTTAGGCTTTCCAACGGGCAGAGCATAAAAATCAAAAAGTATCGTAACTAAACCTATTGCATACGTAACTTACCGCCATACCCCAATGGGCACAACTAGAAAGTGAACCAAAAAGTGAACCAAAAAGTGACCAAAAAGTGATTGGGGTGAGGGCCCTAAGTTGGGATAGGGTCTATAACGCTGAAAAAAAATTGGAGGCCTGGGAACAACTGTCCGACCTGTGGAGGTTGGCAAAAATTCACCGATTGTCGGTGAATTGTCCTACCTCGTCCGACGAAATTGATCGACAATTTACAAATTATATACCAATCGAAAGCTCTC